CTAAATTATTAATGTATGAAAAATGTTAGTTATTAGGCTAAATTATTTTTTTCTCCTTGATCTTGGGAAGATTTCTATTACAGAAGCAGGAGGTTAGAATTATTGGTTATACTATCACACTGTCGTTTTACAGAATACTCTGTCTTCATGCTCTACGGCATATGCCAAGAGGGTGACCTTTTGTCAACCTGTAATTATGCCTTTGCAAAGATTTAAAGAGTAATGCTCAGTTAAGAATGACATTTGGTCATTTGGGGAATCTGCGTGTTAATTTCAAGAGGCTTAACACTCATTTGATATACATAAATTAGTTTAAGAATAAAAACTCTCTCTTACCTGGTCCTCAAATGAGATTGCCTGGGCAACATCTCTTGGAAATCCATCAATAACAATACCTTCTTCATCAGGGATCTGCATTAATCTCTGTTTTATCTCAGTTATAGTTGTTTCCTTTTACGGAGAGAAATAGTTAAAAAATCATCTTTGGTTAAAAACAAACAAACAAAAAAGAAGCTTTACACAATAAATATCAAATCAAGATATTCTTAATACTGCTGTACCTGTGGGGCCAGTTCTCCAGTGGTAATTATTTTAGCAATTAGGCTCCATTTTCTATTGCTGCTTGTGTTATGGATCTTCTTCCTTAATAATTCACCAACTGATATGTATTCAAATCCATAACGTTCTGCTATTTTCAGACTTTGTGTTCCTTTCCCACTTCCTGGGCCACCTATTGTTAAATATAAGCAGAAAAATTAACTTTCATTTGGTATGCTAAATTGACTTTGAAACCTTTGCCACCAATATCAGTGTTCCAAGCTACTATCCAATCCAGATCTGTAGCTGTCCTGTGATTAGAAGTTTCTACAAAGTCAAAATAAATGAATCTATTCCAGGACTCAGCACAAAGTTTTTTTCAAAATTGTCTATCTGAGAAAAAAAAAAGATAAGTTTTCTCTTTCTGGGTCAGACTCTCCATTTATTCACCTCTCTTCTGCTAGTACTAAAGTGGACTTATTCCTGAGTTATAGTAGCATAGGAAAGAAAAACAACAGATCACTTAAGCTATGAGAAGCTATCACTATATGAACCCAATGAAGAGTCAGATATTCTGATATCTTTGGAGAGTAAGGCAATATTTTATCTTTAAATGGACCCCACTGAAGTCAGTGGAATTACCCAAGAAATATGCCTATGAAAATTTGTTTCTAAATACATCTGAGGAATTTGTGCAGTTCCTAAAAATGAAAATGTTAAATAACTGTACCTTGGTACTTGCAATGACTTTCTGTCAAAAAACATGCACTTTAGATCCACTGAAACATTAAGAGTTACTCAAAACTGATTTTACCCCTCTTCAGGAACACAATACAGTTAAAGCAACTATTGTATCTAATATGATGGATAAAATAAATTGGTTCCTAGGAATAACATAGTGCTGCCTTATATTTTCCAAATTAGTCCCATATTTATTGAGGATTTATTAACTTAACAAAGATTTCTGCGAAAGATCCTTCTTCTTGTATGCTAGGGTAGCTAAGTCTTAGAAAGCTATTGCCAGTTTTCGAATATTAGATCTTGTCATAGAAAACAGTAGGGAACTTGATGGAGCGAACTAAGTCTGAAGAAGGCTGGCAAAACATTGTTCTGTTTACATCAATGGATAATTAACAAGTGATTTTGTGTGTCTTATTATGACTTGTCATAGTTTTTACTGGTACCAGTCCCTGGATTGGGTGAGTTTGGGAATAAAAAGGGGGATAGTGGTGGAAGTGCTTTAAAAGAAAGGTTTTATAACTTAGCATTAAAGCACTTCAAGATGCTTAAAGATACAGAACAGCCAGGAAAGGGCAGTCAATTCAATATCCTTTAACTTGCGGAATGAAAAATATCTTGAAATTACAGCAATAGACCAATAATGAATAGACAAAATAAATATTAATAATTATATCTGGTATAAAAAGAGATAGATGAAACAATTTGTCATATTCCATCAAAACTGCAAAAGATAACAGAAAAAAAGAGAGAGCTAGTGCTTGGAAAAATATAATCTTTGCATGTAAAATTACAGAATTGCTGAAGAAGTCAGTACAGTCCTCCGCACTGAAGCAGTTTTCACACTTCTCTTCAGGGAAAGATTTCCTTTGCCATTAAACACAGCAAAACAGAAATGAACAATATACAGTATTTCTATGCTTTCGATGAAACGGAACGGAACTCGAAATGAAACACTGTCCCATCGACACAGCGAAATGGAAGTCAAAATGAAACGGTGAATTGCACAGCCCTGTTGACAAAAATGTTCATAAGGAGAGAGTCTACTTCTTAAAAATTATTTTTGTCTGAAGATTGTATGTTACTAAAGAGAAATGTATGCTTATTTAAGGTATCTCTTAGAGCATATCTAGATGAGGAAAATATATTGTTTTAAAAAATATATTAGATTACTGGTTTCAATTGTGACCTGGTCTACACAGAAAAGTGCACTGGTTTAGCTTTTATTTTCAGCCATCTTTACACATGAACTGTCTCAGGTTAAATTTAGTTGATATTGTTTAACATGCAAGATAAAAACAGAAATGAATCAGATTTCCACCACAGTTAGATTAACTCCTTTTAAAAAAGATGTTAGCTTGTTGCAGTCAAACTCCATTTAGCTCCATCCTTCAGACCTTGACTAGAGCAGGACAATAAGGGTGCATTCCTATGAGCATGCACATGCGATTCTCCTGGTACAAATAGGCATGCCAGTGGCGCACAGCAAATTGCCCTGGGTGGAATAGAGGAGGCTGGGACCAGCACCTGGGCTGGCCCCAGCAGCCTTACTCAGGGTCCTGGGGGCCTCCTGGGCCTGCAGTGGCAGCAATCCAGGTACGCAGAGCCTGGCCAGCAGCCAGAGGGTGGCTCTGGCCGGCCAGGCTCTAATTTCAGGTGGTGCACGCTGCTGCCACGTACACTGTGCCACTTTTTTGTGTGTGCGTTTTTATTAGGTACTGGGATTTCCCAGTGTCTAATTTTGCCCCTGCACTCCAAATATGCAGCGTGGCAAGCAGGTTAACATGCACCACATGAATTTTGTGGCACCTCAAAACGTTTTGAAATTTTGTGGCGCCGCAAACAGCACGTTCCCAATCATGGGGATTTGGCATAGATGTTATTTTTATAAATCAGCATTTCCCAAACTTTTGGGGTTTATACCCTATTGCAGTAAAGTTGGTAAAGTCATCCACTTCAGCTGTCAAAGTTTGTTTGATGCTTTTGTGTATGTGCAGCATTTGTGATTTGCCCATGTATGGAGAGTTGCACCCACTCCAGGAACCTTTCACCCTTCCCACCAAGGGTGCATACCCCACAACTTGAGAAATGCTGTTCGAAAGTATTAACTAAAATGCTTTAAGTATTGTTTAAAAACATGTTAGCACCATAGTGCTGATCACAGTTAGTAAAGATGTTTTTAAAGATGCTGAATCCATTCTACACCAGTGAATAAAAATGCGTTAGTTGAAAAATGGTAGTAGACACATTTTAAACCACAATTTATTTTCTAGTATAATAGATCTTGGAGAGGAAAGTTTCACTGAGTCAGATGGTTGGTTTCTGGCTGTTTCCATCTGACTTTTCTAAAATCCAATAGCACAGTGAATTGTTTGTATCTTTACCTGTTAAAGAAGGTCTTTTTGTAAAAATAGAAAAGAAAGCGGGAAGCCACTTTTATAATTATCCTTCACATTAAACCCAGTTAGCTAACTACAAAGATGAGACAATATAAAAGACTTGGTAGAAGCAATAAAGAAACCCCAGGATAAAGGATTATGAATTAACCGTTCACCAAATATGTGTATGAAGATGCCTCTCTTATCCATTTATTTCTAGCAGTCAATGCGACTAATAATGTATTTAAGGTTAGGCATGCTTTCAAGTTACTTACTGGACTGAGGCTTGAAGAGTGTTTTATGCAAGCTGAAAGTTATGCAATACATATTTTTTGTCCAGTATTTCTGTACTCTAGAAATATTGCTGTTTCTAGAGCTGATTATTACTGAACAAAGACATTTTATAGTCCATTCTTTTTCTTTCTTATTCAACATATTTATTATTATTTTTACTGTGCCATTCATGCTAAGTTTAATTTTAGAATTAACTTTCTCAGTAATTGTTGTTAAACTCCTCATGTGCTAAAGCATCTTCAGTTCATATTATGGGACAGATAGCTGCACAGTTCAGTTTAGGGGTAATTCAGTCAAATGGCTGAAACAGCTGTTGTTGGATGCTTGCATAATTCCCTGCATAGGTTGGAAACAGGATGATAGTCACAACCCCCAAGATCTGCTCACCACTGGCTCACACTGGGTGCATCTACATGTGCGCTTAACTGTGTAGTAGACTAATTTGCTGCAGCGTAAAGCATCACAGTCTATACATGCAACACTATTAGACCACAGCAAACTAATTTCCACTGCTGTAAGATAGTACTGTCAAGGACAGTGCTCTCTTATGATGGCAAAAATAACTGCATCTAAACACGTGTGTAAATGCTGATGCAGGCATAAATTGTGCCAAGTCACCCCAAGCAGCAGGGGGCCAGACCCCTGCTTGCTGCCTAGCCACATGGCTCTGCTCTTTGGGCACTCTTGTATTCCAGCCAGCCCCTCTGGCTGTGACCTAGAGGCCAGGGCTGACCCTGGAGCCTGCTGCCAGCCTGGGACTGCTCCACTCTGGCTCAAACTGTTGCAGTTCCAGGCACACGTGTGGATGCTGTGCTAGGGAGCCATTAACCCTGGCATGAACTGCACCAGAGTTTATCATGCTACAGTAACTGAATGTGTAGATGTACCCACTGAGTACAACTAACCCAATGCCACTCTGTGCATTTTGGTTACATCTAATCCTTATTCATTGTCTTAATGCCATGGAACCATGTTGATTTTAATGCACAAATGTCTTTTACGGTCACAAGAAAGGAGCTAGTTTTATCCCCTTTGGAAATACAAGCTAACTCCTTATTAAAACATAATGAATGAAAGGCAAGAGTTACTTCTCCATCTAATTAAAATTAAATTGCTCAAATGGCCCAGGATTTTACCTTGTGTTTGTTTTAGAAAGAAATGCGGACAGGATGAAAACATCCTATTGTTTACCAGGCCCATGAGCTGTGTGAACCAATAACTATGAAAATGTGTTGCCTTTTCTTTTATGTGTATTGCACCTTTACATCTTGAATTTACCTGGACTACAGACTATAATGGACAATTTTCAGAATTCTTGCAGCATATCACAGAGAAAAATATGCACTGTTTTCTCTTAGGAAGGCTCTATCTTCTGTTCCTTAATATAAAATAAGTCCTTACAGATTGAGAATCTGATTTTTTAGTGTCTTGCACCTTGTATAGTCATTTATACCTATGATAAGGTGAAATGGCAGGTGTAAAAACCTAACAAAATATTTGTGAGTAGAGAACTCTGACTTGGTGGCATCCTACACACATTTTCCACACAATATAAATTATTAGAGGTGTAGAACAAGGTCAATTATCGAGTCCTGATGTGACATGCAGAAATCAGGCATTCTTAGTACATGCAAATATACACAGGTGACAAATAACCTAACCCAGAAAACTGAAATGCAAATACTTTTTGCCCAGCAGGTCAACTATTTATCTGAACTTACATTGGAGGTGTTTTAGTGACTTGCATATTAGTGTGATGTTGGAATTTATCAAAGTAGTTGGCTAACAAGGTACACTTTCACTCAAGTTGGATGTGCTGACCAATCAACTGATCAAGGAGTTTTAAGTGCAGGACACATCAGATCAATATTTTCTTTCTGTGGGATATAGTTCATTTAATTTTAAAGAAAGCTCCTTTTCTGCAGACAACTCTATTTTCTTATCTGGCTATCATACCTGAAACTGAGACTGCCACTGAATCACGTTTCCCCCCTCAAATCTTAATAATGTTTATTATATTAAAATACTGTAGGAATCTAATATATTTACATTATCAATATCAGGGCAAAGGGAATAATAAGAGCTAGTAAAACATTGACACTCATTTTGCCTTCATACCTATGACAAGGATGATTTTTGGTCGAGGTCTTGTAGGATCAAATACCTCATACTCCTCAATTAACTCAGCAGTTTCAGAGAGGTCTGTGTCACTTTCTATGGAGAACTGATGGATGGGAGGGAGTCGATCATAGCGTCGATATGGAAAATTAGGATTGTCAGGCATCACTGTAAAAAAGTCAGGTAAACTGAGAATGGTGTAATAAATAGCACAGTCTAAATCACGTGTATACATTTTTATTAAATGAGGATGAAACAAGTTTAGAATTACAACATATCACAAATAAATATAATGAAAACAACATTTCTTTAACATTTTTAATGCATATTACTTACTGAATTTGGTATTCATGCCTCTATTCAGCTGGTTTATTCAGCTTAAAACCACAAGTTTTCATACTATAACTTCCCTTTGATATCCATTTAAATTGACATGCTTCTATTTGTGGTAAATAACCTTTTGTTCTCCAATGGAAGTCTGACCTCCAGACCAACAGCAATGCTTAAATTCTGAGGGGATGGCCTGCAAATCCTCTGGGCCCCATGATTTTAAGAGTGGTATCTCTGATGGTGCATGTTGCATACAGAGATCAGATGGTATTCTTGATTCATTAATTTAGTGAAATGCTGGCTGGACAGCAGGAATAACTATGGCAACTGGAAGAGTAGCTAATTACTGATCATTAATGTTACAAATATAGGAAACGCACGGGCTAATGTGACATTTATGTAGATTTAGTGAGAAGCACCAGTTGTAATTAATTTCTTCACGTATTAGCAAATTCATATGTAACACTGATTAATAAATGGCTCAGAAAATAAAGCGACAGACCCTTAGCTGGCACAAATCCTTTCAAATCAATGAGTATGGAGCCCATAAGGACTTACCTAAATATCTGTGTAATAGGATCCTGGAGGGAATCCACTTTTATGATTCAAGATTCAATGATGCAAGGTTAAATTATGTCTGTCTGGACACGTCTACATGAGACACTAACTGTGCAACAACCTAATAACATTGTGCAGCACATGCCAGGCAAAAACTGCTAATACACTACTGCACGGTAGTATTAGGCTTCTGTACAGTAAGTGTCACTAAAAATCTGTGCGCTGGTGCTACTGTGCAGTAGCATGAGTTACCGCACATTGATTTAGTAGTTGGTTAACAAAGTACTAAACTTAATGCGCAGTAACTACAGCTGCACATTAATGAATGTGTAGACATACCCTTTGTGCAGCTGTGTTAAAGAAGATGCAGGGAAAGCCCTCTTCTACCAGGCAGCATATCCACCCAGCACACATTCAGCGTTTAGCTGCAGGGTAATGGTAGCCAACTATAGCATGTTCAGAAGTGCTGTGGCTGTGGAAATGGAAGGTGAAAAAACACCACCATACTTGCACTTACAGAGTAAGCCCTAGGTGCACCTTTTCTGAAGTCTTAGTAAAGGTTGCATTCATTCTAGAGCACTTCCCCCAACACCTGTTGCATTGTATGTCTGTCAAGGACATAGTGTCTCCAGGCCCCACTGCTTGGATTAATGCACCTATTCCCTCTCTCCCTGCTGCTTCATGGGAGTCACAATTTTGGGGGGGGATGGCCTTTCACTCTATAAAACCACCAAAAAAGGCCCCAAAACATGAAACCCAAGGAAATAAACAAAACCCCTTGAAAGGAGTTTGAAAACAATGAAAGGGGGGGATGGCCACTTCAAGATTGGCTGTCTGAGAGTCACTTGTACATTTGCATAAATAACTTGGAGTGTGAATATTTTAGACCTATAATTTTTCCCTGTGGACATGACGTGTAACATCTCATTTGTCACTGAGCCACAAAGTAACTTATTTACTCATACAGTTTTAGCAGCAATAATGAAACTGTCTAATATTATGTCGAAATATAAAATGTTCAGCTGAAGGTTATACATTACCATTTCTAAAAAACGATCTTCTGGATTGCCCTCCATTAAGTGGGGGTAGTGTCCTCTTCTCTTGACTAACAAAAGTGTCCCATTTCACTTTCTCTGATCCTCCCAATTCTTTCACTTTCTGTAAACAGCTTTCCAAAAATTCTACTGGGTCATCGGGTTTGTAACAGATCAGTCCATTCAGCAAACTCTGAAACAATATCCAAGAGTAAAGTATAAAGCGAAGGCTACAAAAGAAAACAGAAACCAGTACCCTGAATATAATGTGATTGCATGCCGTGCCTCCACACCCAAAACCTCCAATGGAGCTCAAGCTTGGGGCATGCAAGGAATGCAGGACTGTTGATGTCACACATATTATGTGGAATATGAGGCTTTCAGATATGGCTTTATTTTTGTCCATTAGTGACTAAAACAAAAGCTGTAAAGAGTATCAAGTTTGTCTTAATCTTTTCTAGAACTACATCCCTGGTTGACAAACCAGATTTACCCCAAAGCTTACGCTGTCTACTTTGCTGCTTAGATCTACAAAATGCATCGTTTTCTGAAAGACCACGGCCATCTTGCTCATGGGAATGCACTAATTATGGGAGACAACATGTTTTAAGCACTCTTTCTTCACTGGCATGGTCCTGAGAGCTGTCACCCAGCAGGTGATAGGAGTTCGACATCTTTTAGGTGCTTCTGGGAATAAACGGACCATGGAGGTCCAGTCGCTTGCAAGTTCCCCTCCCATAAGATGTCTGCATGACAGCAGCGCACAGAGCAGTGGGGAGGAGGCATGACCAGGCCAAGGTCAACAAAAAGGGTGCCCCCCGCCCCTCCTATGCAGCCGGGCAAGTGGTGGCGGGCTCCCGGGGGACGTGTCCCAGGCTGACAGGCGCTTGTAGCCGAGCGGGAAGTGCTGGGGGCCCTTGCCATTCTCTTCAGCTTCCCCTAGGCTGGGAGCCGCTGTCACTCCCGGCTAGCCCCAGCCCCAGCCCTTGCTGTGGGGCGTCTCCCAACCACCACGTCCGTGCTACAGCGACCAGACTAACGCCGCGGCTTTCCCCGGGCTCCCGC